GAGTTCGAGGTCGTGTTCATGCAGTCCTTAGACGGCTGCCGCGTGATTTTAAAATAAATTCTTCACGATATTAATGGAAAATGTTCTTGTAAGACCAGTTTTGCATCTGCATGGGCTAGATTTGCATTTTGCTGATAGGGTTTAGTTTTATGAACGAAGGTTGTTGCTATTTAATTATGTTAATAGGTATATTTGCTTACTTGTTGTAGGTATCTAATTTATTATATGTGTCAATTGAATCATTTATAGCTTGCAATGCAGGCTTATGTTGAATATAAATAAATCATTTTATTGTCCATGTGTCGTAAAAAATATCCATAGACGTAGAACTTAAAATTGTCATAATTTGTGTCTATTTAGCCAGTTTCCAATATGGCTGCCCAATTACAAACGCGGAATAGAAAGTGTAAAAATATATTTACACGAATTCACCCGATTTTCAATAAACATGATATTCTTTGAACATGTAGCAATACAGTGAAAGTTTTTAAATGACAATATAAATGTTGTTTTCGCGTGTTGAAGTATATCACTCATAATTCATAATATATCATATCTAGAATAATACAATGCTTCAAATGATATAAAACATAATTGCATTCCACTATCATTCCATAATCATTTAATCAACATTCCTCAAATATCGTCCTCGCTATTATGTTAGCTGTCAAGCTTAATATTAACTGATTATATCCAGTTTTTGTGTACATATCTATGTATATTTTGGATATGAACTATAATGGGGACGCTATATGTATTAAAATATTCGACTCACGTGAATTTATTGAGGAAAGCTCCACTAGTTTCAAGTTGTAACGGAACTCTTATTCATTACCAGGGTGGGGACGACGTCTTTACAGACTGGCGACGTTTTATGTTTTGCATTTTTTATATGACAGGATAAGGTGCTGTGTTACCTGAGTGATGGTAATAGATTTTTAATAGTATTTGTTTTCAGGTTCGTATTTTAATTTTCTTGTGGCCTGCGCATCATTCTTCCAATATTACTACTCTTCTACTGTCCGTCAATATTTCCGTTCAGCCAACCGCTTTGTCCTAACTTATATTTTCTAGCCATGGTCAGGTTCCTACAACTAAGGTCGCATAAAAAAGTAACGCCACACGTAAATTATATCAACAAATAACAAACAGACAAGTATCCGACTCGTCTACCTAATCTCAACAACAATATATATTATTTTGATAAAATCGAAGAAACACTTTCCATTTCATTTATTAAAACTATGGTAGGTATACCTAGTCGATGTCATACTAATAATATATTTCATCAGACGCTTTCATCACATATTGAACCCTTTCCCTACATTTCTCCCATATCTAAAGCATTTCCATTGACCCAGTCAGAATATGAGTGCTAGTACCTAATCGATTCGCTCTGGAGACCTTATCAAGATTTAATAACGCTTACTGGAAAATCCAGGTATAAAAACACTTTAAAACTAACAAAGTTGATTAAAACCTCACATATGATACAGCACTTTCATATACATACAAAATATAGATATATATATATATATATATATCACTAAGAAGTCTTCTCGAAATGGAAATATCCATTATATAGATTAGAATGCCAACTTGTATTTACTTGTGCAAAGATGTTTCAGCATTCCTCAAACTCACGTACATATGTACCTACGTGGGACGGGCTAAACAAATAAATGTAAAAAGAAATCTCAGCTATATCAATATTCTCACTTATCTAAAGTATAAGTTTGCATTCTAAATATACATGATACTATATATAGTTCCAAGATGTCATATAGCATTGTTCCACGTCTTATTTGCTTGGTTACCGGATTATTGCGTGTTTCATATTATGTCTTGCATCAAAACTATTTAGATTGCTCTGCAAAATAATTTACTTTAAAATTCCATGTGATGTTATCATTTTAAGATATTTGTTAATGAGTTAGATTAGTTATTCTTTAACATAACTAGCGTAACATTTCATGTTCGCTTGTAAAAATATAAGCAAAGACTGTTGGCGCCATTTAACAACTAGAGACAGTACTGTTAATCAAAGGCTTATGTAAAATATTATGACATCTATACCTGTAGCAGGTGATAAAACAGATGACGACGGTTTTGATGAACATTTCAATAGATAGCCACAGGAGTCACTTGCATAGAAACAGATGTATTTTGTGATAAAACAATATGTGTTGTATTTGTATCAGATATCATGTAGATAGTATAGATAAATTGAGACGACATTTTACCTGAAATGTTTATCAACAAAATTTATTTCGAAGTCGCGGCCCAATTTTCGCAGTGTTCTGCCTTCCGTATTTGATAGGTTTTAATCTTTTCCAAAGAGCGTACTCGTACTTCCCTGTGATAGGAAATTTTCCATTCACGTGTTTTTCGTGTTCCTCTGTGCGGACCTTGAGTCCCTGTTAGCTGATTATGTTTGGTAATAACATTGTAATACTAATTGTAGCTGAAAAAAATGAAAAGGCATGTTTGAAAGAGCAAGATAGATATTCAGCTGTTTTAATGTTTGTAATGATCGTCCCAGTTCACTAACATCTAAAGACCAGTTGGAATCGTCGTAATGTTGATTAAACATTAATGGTGAAATGTTTGAGAAGTCAACGTTATTATCAATGTTCGTAACTAGATTCAGCAGTCTATATTTAGATAATAATATTCATAAAAGAACTTGTCTTACATAAATCCTTTTATCATTGATATTTCGACACACCTGCGGATGAAGTTCAACTAATCCTTCCAAATCACTCGTCACCATGATTCAGATCATCTAGTAAACAATATTATGTACCTACTCCAGTAATGAGCATGTAACAATACGGCTTGATCACGGCCATTACACGACCTGTTTTTGTGGATACGTAATTATGCCGATATTTTCATGTTATTTTGTTTTTACCGACCAATATCTCGGAAATTACCTTTTATTATCATCTCCAAATTATCTACTGTTTTGTTTACTTCCAGGGGATAGTAATTTTTGGGACATTTCGTTTTTTTTCCGGTTGGGCTCAAATCCAAAAGTTCTAGTTTTTACTTAAACTTGGTTGGAAGTCAATATTCAACAGAACGAATGACTTAACACGTTAAGCGCTATGGGGGTCACCGGTGACCTCCGTTAGCGGAGGATTTGCCTTTAACATTTTTTGTCGGCAGTCAAAGGCTTAACTTCCTCCAAAAAGGTGCAAAACAGATCAGATAACTGCTCTTGATTGGACACATATGCAAATGCCCTCGATAAGAATAGGCCTGATATAGTTTAACACAAAAAACCTAATTTAACGCCTTTTGATTAACAATGTCGTTCCATACATTGCAACATATTGATAACATAGGATACCTTTTGACTTTCAAATATCAATAAACAAGTAAATCCTTGTGATATTGTAGAAGGCCAGATACCGGGGATGTCCGGCTAACGATGTCATATTAAGAATTTGATAGTGTTTTTACTACCTTGAATGATTCATGTACAAAATTTCGAAACAACCGAAGAATTGTGTACGTTGACCTATGCACGAGTTTGAGAGAAAGTAGACAAATCCTGTGGCTTTAAAATATTGGCCTTTATGAGTAACTAGCTACTCCCGCGCGTTTTCACTCGCTGCTCGGCTCTATTTGATTGTAGCGTGATGTTTATAGCCTATAGCACATGGGAATATTGTAGCTATCAATTAAAGAATTTTGGAAATCTGACCAGCGGTTCCGAAGATTACCCCCTACATACAAACTTACAAACATACAAAATTACAAATTTTACCTCTTCATAATATTAGTATAGATTTCACTAAAAAAAACGTTCAAATATACAAACCCCACCATGGTGTATTGTGAATATAAATAAAATCAAACGTTACAACTACCTGTATATCATACGAATACGTTTCTTCCGCATCCGAATCCGTGTGAGTTGTTATACCATGACCTTTGCTAACCAATACACAAAAGTAAATCAACACAAAACTTAACCAAATAAACCAATAAACACTAAAACATAATTTAGATAACATTCCTAACCCCTTAAATATTTATTGTTTTATGATAACGGCGATAGGACAATGTTTTAAACTGTATGCGCAGGCGCAATTTCGCGTAGAGGTTGAGACAGCTTGTCACACTGACCCGGTGTGAATGGTTGAATGAACTTCGAAAATGTTAGAGTCACACCTGCGTTTAAAATGACATTGATTAAACTGTTTTTTGGCTTGTACTAGAAGCAGACACTTTGATCATCAAAACACGTAGGTCAAAATGCAAAGGAATGTATTGATTGTGGTTAAACATCCCTCTGATCACCTCCCGTCCGTCCTTTCAAGGTCAATGTGCTATAAAAATATTACATGAGAGGTATTCCGTAATAATAAGTACTTAAGAATGTTCTAATCTGGATCTGTACATACATATCATAATTGCTTTTTAAATCCCACGACAAAAGAAAACCCTTATTTCTATTAACGTATGAATTGAAAAGAAACAGATATTTTAGATATTTCCTAGAATAATTACTGTCCGGAAGACTAACCATTTGTTTCCCATTGTATTTCTGACTTTCTCGTAAATAATGACCTTACCAAACGTCCTCGTTATTATTTTCTGGTATAAGGTTATCAGTCACCTTCTCAAGAATGTTTGAAATCTGAATCATAGGCCCAACCGCATTTACGTAAACACTAAACCTAAAAATAAAACCGAAAACTTGAAATATTCGCACGAATTTACCAACATAAATAAATAACCAGTGAGTTGGTAGGTAAAAATAGCATAACGCATGTACCAATTGATATTATTTGATGATGATAAAGCAAGATCCTAATCTTTGATCTTATAGGTGACGCTGTAGCGATCTGCCTAATCAAGATTTCTTCGTAAAAGTTGGTAAAAGTATTGATATGTATTCACCCTGTGCTGAAAACTGAAATGGTTCCGCTAGAAAACGTTCAGTGACGCGGTATCTGATAAAGTTTACCTGATATAGAATAATTAAACAAGCCACGGCCGCCATACTCCCGAGTGCGCTGAGCTCCGTACTTCAGTCTTCGCGCGGCGCTCGGTCAAGACACTCGCGTCTCCTGCGAACACAACCTCCTTTATCTCAAAGTGCTAGTTTATTTTTACACTTACCGTATCTCTAGTGATTGTGTTAAGATGCCTACTGAAGTTTGTGAGAGATTCATGGCTAAACTATTAAAGATGGTGAGTGTTTTGGGGGTTTTCCCTACTTTTTTGCAATTTTTAAAACTATGGTCGTCGGTTGTATTAAATTTTTCAAGGTGTATTATCAGCTTTCATTGTCTGAACATTGTTTGCATTCGTATAATGCTTATTAAAAATTAGGTAACTAGTGATGTATTTATCAAGGAAAATTGCAAGGGCTTAAGTTTCAATTAATGCGGCAAGCATACAATAGCGCAGTGATTACTGTGAAGCACAAAGCCGGTTCACTTCCGAGTTTTCGCAATTCCTTCATCGAATACAGATATTTACAAATCCCATTAGCTGAATCCATTTAAGCAAAATTTTCAAGGCTGCCAAAATCTGCGTAAAGCATAAAAGTTTTTATGTCGTCGCCCCGAAAATAACAATACTAATTATTTTATTGTTTCGGTACTTCGACCATTCATCATTCGGTCCACGTACACTTGACGTCAATAGTTTAATTACAAACGAGTAATAAAGAATCTAATTTGGTAGCTATGACCTCTTAAGAGTTCTAGTTACTTTGAGAAATGTACCAAGCTGTTCATATCCTTCTCCAGGGTTTATGACCGGTCTCAATGACGTCCAGACTCCGTTGGCTTAATGTTCAGTAATATAACATTGTTTTTGGAGAGATTTTATGGATCATAAATAGCTGGTCAGATGCCTGCCTGACTACGTAGTCTAGCTAAACTTCTGATGTAATAGTTGATTTTACGTAGGGTATTAAGGTCTTTCATTCATCCATCTTTGTCAGCTAAATATTATTATGGAATATAATTTCTGAAGGTGCTTTTGTACTGATAACAGAGTTATAGACCTATATAGTCTAGGTTCATCTTCAAACTACACACTTATTATATTTAGAATCTCTGTTAAAAGTTAAAGGATGTTGAGTACCTAATTGTTAAGAACTTTTCCTTATCACGTATTGGTCGCTCAAATTCATTGCTATTCCAAATTTGTTCAATTTAAGGCCGCATTCACATACGCGAGAATTTTCTTGACGCCTCTATGTAGCGGAAAATTATCAAATATCAACTGTCTTAGTATTGTTCTGTCTGGTAAATCTTCATTATGTAACGTATTGTTCTAAAGCCGGTGTGAATTGTGAGGTGAAATTAGTATTCATAAAGCAAGTCATGGAGTTTCACATTTGTTATTTTAGCTGTTCTAATAAATGTTTGACATTTTACTTGTTTTCCAATCATCTGCTCTTTCTAATATTATATTCGCAGGAGTTATCTTGCTTTGTTGGAGTTTCCTTCATAAATTCTTCAAGCAACGGATTTCTTTAGGTACATATGTCCACAGCTTTCGGGCTCCAAAATTAGGTTTGTCAACATCGTAACCATACGTTATGCCTCCAATACGTAATACTGCCTATATAATTGCGTCAATTTCTGTTTAACGTACCAGTATTTTGTAAAACAAATTCTTAACTACCCATAATTTTGAAAGTTTTATAGCCTTCAATTCAGATCTAGGACATCCTGCAGTTCTATTTGTGCTAATCGTTAGCTAGTTTTGATGTAGACTCCCAGAGATTTAACCAGGTCGACGTTTATACGTGTCCCATTTGAGTTCCCCATTGCGTCGTTTTTATTTCAGGTTGGAAATAGGTAACCTAGTGTCGCCTCGTTTATGTCAGTTACATCATTAGCATTAGCATTCTATGCAGAAACTGCTTCAGAGTCATTTTACTTGACCGCTACGCACGGGGTCACGACATTGCCATCATCATCACGACCATACGATTGGATCTCCACTATATCTCTTGGCATCATCTTTATTTACATTCACATTTTATTTGCTTGCATCATTCTCGAGAGCACGGAATACATTAGCGATTCTTCGATAGATTAAAGTTCGCGTCGAATCAATCTCTCGTCACCCAACATCAAATCTTAACCCAAATATTACAACAGTTTGTGGAATTCATGAAGTATTTATTTAATATTAATAATACCGGGAACATGACTCGCAACAACAATAACTAATAATATTTGAATCAGCACCGAGTTCAATATAACTTTTTCAATTATTTTTCCTTCTCTAGCTATTAAGAACATTTATGATGGATTCTGAGAATTACACATTGATGTAAACTTATATGTTTCACGTAGGGATATATGTTGAATCTATGATGATTTGTACAGACAAACAGTTTAAGTTCAAAGAAGCAGAAAAAGCTTTAAACAAATCAAATACAAAAGCTGTAATTGAAACTGTCAATAGGGATTCATTAACTGATAATGCAACAGAAAATAGAAACAATTTATATTGACAAATGATAGATAGAAGCTACTGTTGCATTGCATAATAGGCATAAATCACGTAAAGAGACAAATAACAGCTCATTCACAAGTTGATAATGTATCGGGGTCGTGTGTGAGTCAGGTTCATTAAATGGTACATTGTTTACTACTGCCTCAACCGCAGGATGTCTGACAACATCCAGTGGCCAGTATTATTATTTTCACATGTAATTCTATTGAATTACAATATTTTTGAGTATGCTATTATACTTTTGTTGTGTGTTAAAAGTGATTCACATTCTTGTTGTTTTAATGTTCATCGAGCGCAACATGTCTAAGCCTGTCCTATCAACACAACACTTGTTATTTTTCTTTTGCTGTAAACAAATTTACGTTTCTACGGTGACACAAGGTAGAAGGTTTTCAACCCAACAGAGTAATGAACACTAAGTAGTAATGGATACATGCAACAAAAGGAAAGTATTAGCAGATTTGTGTATGAAAATATGGCCATTCTCATACGATAGCTATTGTCTTCGACCCATATTTGTGACATGCTAAGTACAACGTGATTGTCTTCACTAGCCTCTGCAACGGACGTCACCTGACTATTCATGTTTCTTATTTGTACAACGACTGCAGGTTTATGGTCCATCAATATAGCTAATAACGTTTGTACAATAGGTGAATGTCAATTGTGTATAATATGACATGACTGACCTGTGGCTTACTCTTTATTGTTAGCATCGACGTCATACGGCCTATTGTTTGTTATTATTTTAGCAAACTCCTCGTTTCTGTCATTAGCATGATTTGCATTAGTGAGCTTGTTGTGGCCTCAATGCAAAACAACGATGAGACCTTTCGAATCAGTAACCGGGATTATGTTTTTATCAGGCAGTATGCAGATAGATTCAGCTCCCTATCAGCTCTACATAATCCCATAACCGCCCACAGAAATCGAGATAGTGTGTATCTGGCAACATCGCACGATTATTCGATCGCTTGTTAAGGATCAGTGAATACCGTTCCGTCAAACTTGACTTACAATGCCTGCTGTTTCTAGAACCTTGGGCTGATAGCCAGGAATGATATCATTAGCTTGGTTTGGACTACCCAGGTATTCAATATGGAGGCTCGTGGATTTTTCCTATCACTTGTCTGCACAGAACATAAGCGTTAGCGACTTTTGTTACGGTGCCTGCTTATTTTAAAGAATTTTATTGCGAGATTCGAATAAGTGTTTTCTGTATCATACTCCGGATGTCCTAAGTATTTTAATTCACACAAGTTGTGCTTTCAAAAAGGTCGTAATCTGATTGAAATGTAACGTAACTTGGTTCATATGTTTAGTCTAGCACACTAAACGCTTGATGAAGATATTTGCAATCGGAATTGGGTTGCATTTTATTTGAAAACCAAAATATGTAGATTATAAACACGCGTATTTATGAATTTGGATCACGGCTTTACACGTATATGTTGCTGGTATTTTAACATTCCTCCCGTTTATTATCAACAAGAACACATTTTCGATTTTATTTTAGTTCTTCAAAGACTGCGTATACTATAAAATAAACTTTGCCAATATTGTTGTTATTAGCAGTTCTTTGCTATTCAAAATTGACATCGGTAATTTGAATAAAAGGAGTTTCAAAAACATTGTCTGTGCAAATTGTATTCAGAAACTTTTTTTTTATTACAAGGTATCTCGAAATTGTCTCTTAACCATTCAAACAACTTTTTTTTCTCGTCTCAATTGCCAAGGACTTGAAAAATACATAATGTATAGTATATTTCATGTCTTACACCGCGACCGAGTCCGGAAACTGTTTTGTTTAGCACAAGCATTGTTATTGTAATGCCGTATTGTGTCACCAATCGGGTGTCGGGACTGGGGACATTCAACGTCCCGTCCCAACCATTCAGAACTCGTCACTTCAGTAGCCATTCGGACGTGGCCGCGGACGGAACACACGATATTCGCCTTAAACATAGTTGCCATTACGAAAACAATTTGATACACTTAAAAAGTCATAGTGTAAAAACCAGACAGATACTTCAAGGACTCGACTATGAAATTCAGTACCGATTTCAAGTAAGGAGTTTGAAAGTTGTGATTGATTACACGTGAAGTTACATGGTGATTACAGTATTAAGTGTTGAAAAGTAACATTGAAGATGGTTGTATGGTATACATCGGAGGGGAAAGAAGAGGTAAAGATTGACTAACACTTCCATTTTGTTTATAATCGATCTAACTACTATACATAATGTTTTACAGCGCTCTGTAATACGTACTGCGCCCACGCATACAACGATAGCCCGTTCCTTAATAAAACAAATTCGCGGAAAATTTCCTCCTAAACTAAACTTATTAATTACAAATTAAATATTAGTACGTGGTACGTTTAAATGACCGTGTTTCACGAGCACACTCAAATAGACATAAGTTTATGTAATTTCAAGATGAAGACCAATCTCCGGTTTTCTTGGAAACTGATAATTTGTTTGTTGACATATCTCAATGTGTCTAGTAATGATCTAATGGACTGAATACTTATATAATGCATGTAATAGTTTAAATCGAAGTTGCATGAGAATACATTGTCTAAGCTATAATTTATATGAATGCAGATCGGTTTTTTGTAGTGTATACGTCATTGATGATCGGAGGGTTTTTACCCAACTGAGTCCTAGTTAGCACCCACGCGTTTACGCATTTTTTTCTGAGTAATCATGCTTTGGAAGACTTTGCAATCTAGGGGAATTCTTTAAAGATCGGGATCTTTTTATACTCGGGGTTTTTTTCAATGTAATACTACGGAGGATATGAAGACCATTTTTACGAGAATCAATCGAAAATTTTAATATATTTAGTACTAAATAGGTTTTCAATTTGGTAAAATATTTTATCGCCTAGTCTATCAAAAACAAAATAGTTAATTGTTCCATGACTTATGGATATGGATACGGATAGTAAGGGCAGTCAAATTTATCCTAGCATAAGTTTACTATATTCATGTTTTTATCCAAAAACGAAAGTGGCGCCATTCAATAGTTTCACAATCGAATAATGTTCTTTAAATCTTCATCATCTTTGTTACTATCACTATAATTAGTTGTTCTATCACGTCTCTTTAACCACGTGGCCCTCATATCTACACGTATCACCGACATAGGCTGGATGTCAGGCGCTCCACTAGTGTATCAACAAACAAACTGACAGACAGTTTGCTTGCCTCATGTACACATTCATACGTGGCGCCTTCGTATTTTGTACAGGGCTGCTAGATCATCATGATACTTTATTAATATTATTATACTGTTTATAATAAAATTATTTGGTCCCACGCGATTATATCCGCTGCCTATTATATCCTGCCCCGATAAATATCCAACACAGTTTTTTTTGCGATTCAGTTCTTCCGTAGATCGCTTTCAATAATACTGTCTAAGTCTGTAGTTATATAGGGTAGTACAAGTATTTTAATGCAATGTAGAGGTAAACCTGCATGTTATTGACCCATGAGTTTGACCTTGTATTGAACAAAAATATGGTAGCCTGCTATTGATGATTTTAATTTACCTGTCTAGGTACGTAGCCTTAATTCGTTTATATTTAAGGATATTTATTGCAACTATATAGGCACTGCAAACTTGGCAAGCGCACGTCAGTTCAGGAAAGCTAATTAATAATGATTAATTTAATACCAAAACAATTTGATTCTCAACTTGTTATTGAAAATTGTAATCCACATATACCTACTCATAAATTCAATTCAATTCAGTGTCAGTTATACCGATTTACAAACTTGTCGAAAAAATCGGCAAGACACAGTGACCTTTCCTTTAGTTGGTAACACTTTATAAACTATAATTGCATATGTTTTCGTAAAAATGTGACTGCAAATCACTACATAATTATAAAACAAGTAGCTTTCTCTCTCCTTATATTGGTATGTAGAGTGATTGAAGAAGAAAGAAAGGTAATGACATGCATTAGATGATGGAGAAATTTAGTATCAGTATTGTACCCTTGCGAAGCGTAAATCGCATTAAGAATTGCAAAATTCTGGAACCGAATATAAATAGTATATTTAGTAAGATAACACCAGTAACCTTACCTAGAAGGGATACTGTAGCAATGAACATTTAATTCAATGCCGAGCGAAGGGGCGCGGTCTATTACGATCAATTTAAACTCCTTCCTCGGACGATGTCACATGTCGCCTACATTCGTTTCAATTGCATTCTCGATCTGGGACAGACAAACGGACATGTGGACGGATTAACATGTCTATAGTTAGATAGAAAACCTTGGTATGTTATAAAGGATTTGAAGGTGTCGAACTAATGATGAAAAAGGCCATATAGAAAAGTTGATTTTTGATTTTGATTTAGGTATAGGATATTTAGCTTGAAAAATAGTATTGATTATTTTTCTTCGTTATTAAAGGCAAATATATATCTTACCCCATATACTGAAAAACATTATAGTAGTGTTTTACAGTCGTTTTTACTAAACTAGAAGCAGTGTACTGACTTCGTCTCAACTGTTTGAGTGCAATGAACTGCATCCAATCATTCAATTTATCCAATCTTCTCATCCAAGTCATCCAACTCATTATCTACTAAAGGATAAATTTCCGAAGGTTACTATTATAAAAAGTACTCGTTGTTGCAATCTATCTCTAGCAGAATTTCATTCAGATCTGCTCAGTGGTTTTTACGGCATAATAACCCTTTAAAACTTTCACATATATGGAGCCACCATATGATTCATAAATAATGACTATTTGAAGCATTATAAAAGGCATTAGTGTTTGTACAGACCTGATCCAGACGGCTTCCTTCCGTTCTTAGTTAGTACTTCAATGGAATAACAATAGCCCATATTAAATAAGTATTTTATGAGGCAAGCTTAGCAACGCCATTAAGCAAGCTTCCAATGCAGTTCATGTGAGGTGACTCAATAAAAAAATCGAGGCTATCCCATTATAATGATTTCGAAAATATGTGTAGTGGATAGTTTTTTATCCATACCAATAGTGTTAGTAAGTTTAAGCTAATTAGTCGATCTGCCAGAAAAATATTCATTCACATCCATTATTTACAATTTATTATTCATTTTTGATTTCCTTTTCAATCTTTTACAAAAAATAATAATAATCAAAATGAATATAAGTGAGTGAGTGAGTGAGTAGTTTTCCTTGCAACTTCAACAAACCACAGTTATTTGTGCTGTTTTATAAATCATTGTGGTGAATTTCAGTGTTAAAATACTAAGTGAATGGTGCCCAGAAGGATTAGGTAACTATACATATAAACACTAAGGCAATCCAAAATATATTTTGCTCTAAGCCTTACGTGTTTGTTGCGGCAAATTGTGTAGGATGGAGGAAAATTCTCGAAAAATACATATTTACCTATCCCCATTTAAGACCTATTTTTGTGCTCTGATTCGTTTGTGATGACACCTTTATGACATGTTGTTTACCTGTTAGTGTCATAATTAAATTGGTTTGAAATTCTTCATTTAATACACTTTAACATTATACTTAATTGTTTTTGTAAGGAATTGAAATGTAGGTTTACGAGGCCTTTGTACGTTGTTTTGACACTTCGTTTAGGACTTTGGAGGCCCTTCAAATCGTCCTGGACTGGAACATATCTAGTAGTAGTACGAAAAGCTATCTTTTCTATTTTTTTACCTTCAATATGATAATACATTCCCACCGATCAGTTTCATATTCATCACACATTAACTCAATAAGCGATAATTTCAAAGATCGCTACTCCACACTTATCCATAAGTCATAAAAAAGAACTATCTCGGTATATCGAATGTTTATTTATTTATGATAATCCAATTCTTGTATTTATTTATTTATGCTAATTGACCACTTAATAATTCTATGCAATAAGTCTTGTATTTGTGCAAAATGTATTCCTCATCTTTTTTTAAAGCTAAGTGCTTGTATAAATGCGAAAGAAGAGACGCAGATGTTATAAATAATTAATTCAGACATTCTTAAACGATACAAAAGTGCGTCCCCTTTATCTAAAGGATATAAATTCAGCTGTACAAATCATAAATAATAAAATATTATTTGCGTAATACGAAAAAAGTGGCGCTGTCGTCGCTTTTGGAATTGCGTAGTTACAGACTGCCATTTTATTCTCTCGTTCGCAAGTTGTAAATCATTCAATCAACAATTTGTTCCAGTAATTGTTTTACAATGTACATGTAAATTATATTGGCCAGTAATACAAGGTGTAAAGATTATTTGCTTCTATTGCTATTATCGTATCGGTATTATTACAATCATATTTCACCTATAATATTTATAGATGTTTTCAATACTTGTGATGTTAATTTTTGTTATTTTCTTTGTCACCAGAGCGAGCAATCGTCGCCATTCCGTCGCTGGACTACGGGCAGCGGCGCAGGCAGCTCTTACCGCCACCACGAACACCGCAACATGTATAATAAGGTACAGCTTACTCTGCGGAAGATAAAATTGATATTTCAATAAAATTCCTAAATTAATGAAAGGAGCATAAACATCACTAAAATTTTCCCAGTCCAAGACACATCCATACTTTTCAACTTTTAAATATAAGTACATATCTCATTTTTTTATGTAACATGTCGGTAAACAAGCAGACCGATTACCTGGTGGTAAGCAATCAGCGTCGACCCGCAACAACGGAGGAGCTACGAGTGCGTTGCCGACCTTTTGGGGATTAGGAATTTAGGGAGGAGAACGATTAATTTCCTAATTTGTCTTACTATATCTTTGAATGTTAACAGCAAATGAGCGAGGGCGCAGCGCCAGTGGCGACAACAAATGGCGGCGGCTCCAACGTGTCGCGCTGGTCGCTGGGGCTCGAGCACCTGCTGGCTGACCCTGCAGGATTCGAAGCCTTCGCCCACTTCCTCGCGAAAGAGTTCGCCGCTGAAAACATACGGTGAGACATCGTTTTTGATGCAGGTCTTCTTGTTAATTGGGTTTAAGGAAGTTGCAGATTTATTGGATGTAATTGTAAGTTTTGCTGTAAAATTATGGGATTGATGTTTTTTTAATTGTCTTTATTGTACCCTTAACTGACTTCCAAAAGAAGAGTCATTAAATTTTTGTACACTGAAACTTAATTATAGTCAATATACTTAGTACCGTGTCAACCATCAACTGACGGCAGAGGTTTAACTTTACGCATTTTTAGTACAGTATTACTCGTTCATATCTTGTTTCCGTTGTAACGAACCCATTTCTCCACAGTTTTTGGTGGTCATGTGAGCAGTACAGCGCTATATCAGAGCCAGAACGTCGCGGTGCCCTGGCAGCTGAGATCTGGCAGCGCCACCTGGCGGACAAGGCACCGGAGCCGGTCAATGTCGATGCCGCAGCTCGGCGCGCCGCCAAACTTATGATGGAGACTCATCCACCACCAGCTGAACTCTTCCAACAGGTAACATCAACTAACTTAGTCTTTAATTTATACTCGACTTAATTTAAATAGAAATGCTCTGCTCAATCAGTCAATATAAGTCTCAAAACAGAACGATTTCGAACTGCATACCTCTATTTCCAAAGGTGGGCAAAGATTTTTATGTTGATATTTTGAATAAATACAATAGGCTTAATAAAATGGCATGTTTAAAAAAAATTGCCCTCCTCTACGATGTGAACAATAACATGATTTGCCTACATTGAGTGCAAAATGAGTACTTTACAATAAACAACAAAGTTATTTCATATCTACTAAGATCCTGTTAACAAATCATAGGTAATCAATCATCAAGGTTGTAGATTGTATCTCTACGTGCATCATCAGTTCGTTACCAACCTATACTCAAAGTCAAATAAAGTTCAAATACCCGTACTACAATCTATTCACACAGACACTTGCGTCTGTCTACCTTTCACAATTTTCCTCATGACAATTCCTTTCCAAGGGGGTCGTACGTACGTAATAAGATAAAGAATAACAAGGCCGATGAAGAGATGACTATTGCTACCTATTTCTTTGTCAGATTTTATTATTTCAAGTATATTTCTTTGATAACATCGTCAAGGTATTGATTTATCATACTTACACCATGCATTTACAAAACCTACAAAACGCTATGAATGCGTGAAATCTTTGATAGATCATATCGAATTAAAACGCTCGTTAAAATTTTACGAGGTAATTGCAATCACTGTTGATTTTGTAATTGTATTAGTTAATATTACAAAAATGATAATCTGACAAACATTTTATTGAAGCTGTAAAAACTGATCATATCTATAATATGAGAATTTTTGCTTGTCTCTTGCCGAAATAAATGTATGTACTCATTTAAGTACATATGTCTAATATTAATTTAACTCGAGCAAAGACGCGGGCGGAACTAGTTGTGGTATGTTGAAAAAATCCAGGATATCACCTGTCTACATACCAAATTACAACTAAATCAGTCCAGCTTTTTTGTGTGAAAGAACAACAATCAAACATCCACACATTCTCACAAATATTCACATTTATAATAGTAGTATTTATGTTTTATCTCTTTAACATAATGATTTTAAATAACAGTTAATTCTCTTTCTCAGGCTCAGAAGCAGATATTCAACGTGATGAAGTTTGACAGCTACCCCCGTTTCCTTCGCTCCGGTATACACGCTGAGTGCGCACGCGCAGACCTCCGCGGTTTGCCGCAACCTTACGCTCCAGCTAGGGATAATACTACTGAAAATACTAAGGTAAGATAAATATTATATAATATACGATGTTTTTGATGTGTTTGTTATCTTAAATAAGGAATTGTTGATTTTTTAAGTGTTTGAAGTTATGGTTACCGTATTTTGTTAGTTTTTTGCCTACATCAGTAGTAATGTTGGAATAATTTAATAAAATCAATAAGTTTTTGTTCGTTTTGAGTTCTGTCGCCATCAAGTGCATACTAACTTTTGATAAAGAAAACTCATAGTTATAACTATGTCTACCTTTGTTAAACATGTAAAAGTAGAATAAGTTTTTATAAATTAATAAATTAATTATTTTGCTTAATAGTAATAGTTATTGTTTTTCAACATATAATCATTGTTTCAACTAACAAATATATATCATATTTGTCCACAGTTAAAGAAGTCAGACAGCAATGCATCGGAGCGGCGCCGCAGCGGCGGCGGGTCCCTACTGCCGTGGAAGCTGCGCGCCGGCCGCGAGCGATCCAATAGTACGCAGCATAACGAACCACCACCTGTCACTGATGTAAGTCACATTGCTATAGTATCAAAATTGTATCTATTTAAAAAAAGCGTTGCCCTTGTGTGGTTGCGTTTACAAACATACAATTTCACATTCAAACCACACCCAGGCTCGGAATAACAATTCTGGATCACACAAATACTTGATCCTCGCGGGAATCGTACCCGAGACACTTTGCGCCGCAGCCAATTGCCCAGCCTCCGCGCCAACCTTAAAATTATAAGTTTATACCTTGTTTCATAATAATGCATAGCTGTAGTAAACCCCAATGATGGGCTGCGGCCCGACTGCGAGTAAAAGAAGGAACAAGGTAGTTTTAGCCAGTAAGAATCTGTACCTCCCTTTCAAAAAGCTTGTTTCTCTTCAAAAAGTTCTTATTACTTGTCTTGTGATAATTCGCCCGAAAGAAAAATTACTGATAGACAAACATACTCCATGATTGGCCACTGTATCATTTTTCACCAAGCGAACCCAAATTGGCCAAAATTACTAACCAAGAAAACGTAATCATATTTTAATTCCGCGTAAATATTCATCTAGTCGTTCCAATTAATAATTGTGTAACATAACTGATACGCAAGTGTTAGTCATTTTAATCACCATATAGGAAGGTATAAGGAAAACCAACCATAAAATATTGGTGTCAAATTAATCACCTTATAGTAGCAATAAGATGTTTTGTAATAAACATTAAAAAATAAATAAAGAAATTAGCATCCATAGAAGAATGCAGTGCAAAATACTTGCATGCACAAATATTTAAATTACAACAATTATGCTAATTTTCCTCAGCTTCCAATTAGCAAAACATCTATTGAGATGTTAATAAATAACCGGTTCTAACTAGTTAGTCTTTACGAAACAATAGAATAGATCACGACGCACAAATATGCACAGAAACACACCATACAATTGTGTGCACGGAAAAACACGACACTATCTCTATTAGACAAATATTGGCCCTCTCTGCTAAGCTATTATTAGTATTAGTAATTGTATAAATAATAACGTAATTTCTAAACTTATTTTGTCTACTCATCGTGTGGACAGTCGAGTTGTTAACAAAAAAAAAACAGCAACTCATATAGACAAACATTTTTGTTACTATAACTATCTAAGTTTATATTATATTTCAGCATTTAGGTCTAAGAAGGATTTAACATTATTTCTGGCGACATATTCTTTTTCAAATTCACAATCTTTATTGCGAACTTGATATTAACAATTAACTAATTAAATACTTAAAACATGCTTTTACCACTTAAATTTTTCTTCTTTCTTATATTGATAAAAATTCAAAACCTTTTTATCTACATATTAAAATTAAATGAATGAGGAAAACAAAACGCATTAATCATTTAATAAGAAAATAACACATATTACTTTCTTGAGACATATTATATTAATGGAAACTAAACTACTCGTAATATCCCCCCAAATTATAAAAATAACTATTATCCTTCAAAAATATGAACAAATGTTGTTTTGACTAAACGCTCACAACATTTATAAATCAAGTATTGTAATATTGGGTTCATGATGAGTGCGCAGAAAGTTCCCCTAACTTTCGAGTCACGAATGAACAAACAACAAACACCGCTCTTATGTACTCTACAATATTTGTATATAAGAGTATATAGGAGTATATAGTGTTTATTTATCAATATGTGGGTAATTGTGTACGCTGTACCATTCTAAAATTATTTCCAATGCAATGTTTGAGTTAGCTTTAGTTTATTGATTGTATTGTGTTATTTATGTGGAATATTTTGCTCTTAATGTTGTTTTTGAGTCTAGTTAGTGATATTTTTTTGTATTTATTACTAAATTATTGTAGTATCGGCCTTTTTTACGGCCATTGCAGTAATTCGCCTAATTTAATAGGCCAAATCGATTGCAAAATATCTCAATTACAAACTAATTGTAATCACATTACCTATCTAAGATTTTTTTCTTTTGCTTTTATTGGTCAAAGTCTACCAATAAGCCAGTTTGAATAGAATATTTATCATAGTTTTTCTATTGTCACCAGGTGGTGAAATCATGTCAATCAGTTCCCGGACAAAGCTTGTTATGCCGCGTGGTACTACCAGATGGCGCTACCTCCGTAGTGGGGGTGGACGACACTTTGACAGTGCGTCGACTAGTGGACCGACTGTTGCAGAGGAGGAACTTGCCCTGCGCCAACTATGATGTACTGCTTAAAGATGCTAGTCAGGTAAGGACGAAAAAAAATATTTTTTGCTATTATTGAAGGGTTTTGGGGTTATATCACTTTTTTTTTTGTTATTGGAATACAATGAAATAAATTGTATTTTGTAATATTGTTGGAGAAATAAAATGATGAAGACTTGTTTTTGGATTTCGTTTTTAGAATTTTTTCTCTGGGGTTTGATTTAAGTATAAATTTATACTTTGGAATGAGAAAATAGCTTTGATAACCTGTCACTTTTATCTTTATTTTTGGTGAAAAAGGGTTTATTAATTTTTGGTTAAAAAGGGGCTTTAAGGGTGATATTGCAATAAATGATTTAGATTTTATACAACCTTTATTAAACTAATTATGTTCAGCAGTGGACGCCATCAGGCTGATGATGAAGTTGATGATGATCTTTTATGTTTGGAATATTTTGATTTTATTTGTTTTTATTGCAAGACATCGATTATAGCAATTTTGTTTCCTCTTGTGCAGGGTACGTCGAGTACAGTGGACGTGTCGTCCCCGTCTTCGGTGCTGGGCGGTCGCGAGGCGGTGGTGGAGGCGCGCTGCGTGGTGCGGCTGGAGGTGGGCGGGCGCGGCGTGGCCGTGCGCTGCGGCCCGGCGCGCCGCCTGCGCCACGTGCTGCGCCCCGTCCTCGCCAAGTACGCCGCGCCACACGCCGCGCGCGCCGTGCTCAGGGCCGGCCGTCTGCTGCACCCTGACACACTCATGCAGGTACACTACTTTATATACTGCGCTATGCTAAGTATCGCTTAAAAAGTATATTTATGTAGCTAACTTATAACTAATGTAGAAATTAGTAGTTGTGTCACAATTACGAGCACCGGTGTACCTCGAAATTAATCGAGCACTCTCGATATAACATCTTTTAGTTTGAATAAATATTATGAAACTAATTACACGATACTTATTTCAACTAATCATTTTCGTATTACTTCTCCATAGAAAAATAACCTTTACGGACTAAAAACTAACTATAAATTTTCTTCGTCAGGAACTAGACGGCGCTCGTCTCCAAATAGTGGAAGTATCAGAGAATGGCGAATACCGCGCTGCTACAGCGGAGTACGAGGTGGACGATGACGCAGACTCACTCAGCGACCTCGCCGTCAGGTTGCAGGACGACGCCATGAAGCAGCCCGATGAAGTGGTCAGTATTCAAATATAATCTATAGATATATAACCAAGATGTCACATATATAAATCCAGTTTTAATGAGCAAAGTATCAAACATGACCTGCGGGGCAGTAGTAAAATTGACGAGAACATGTAGACCCGATAATTTTTGTGCTTCACCAAGGTTTAGGTATTAAAAAAATTAAAATGCTAATCATAATACTTATATATAAAATGTTAATCAATGGAATAATTTCTTAACAATATGTTTGTTGTCCTGGCAGAGCGTGGGCACGGCGAGTGGCAGTAGTCGCGGCAGTAGCGGCGCCGGCCGCGTCCGCGCCGCCCTACGACCCGGGCCTCCGCTACACCATCACCCACCCGGTTCGTACTCCTTGATTACATTTTTCGTTTATGCACACATACAACTTCAATTAAGAATTAATTGCAATCATCTATCTATAAGCGTAGAACATAATTTATCAGTTTCAATAACCACGTTTCTTTATTCCACAGATTTCCTAGAGAATCTCAGAGAGACGCAACGGCAGAGGCTACAGAGCAAGGGCTCGGTGTCTCCGCCGTCGTCCCCCGGTCCACAGCCCCGCAGCCCCCCTCCGCTCCCCCCCAAGCCGGCGCAGCGCGCGCCCCCTACCGTCGTCTGAGCGCACCACTCGCCGGTCTCGGCGCATGATCACCTCACACGACTTCTCCAAGTCACACTTGGGAACCGAAGTAGCCGACCCACAGCTCACAAGACGGACGGAATCCGTCGAGAACTCAGTTTCTGACACAACTGAGACTAATGAGCCATGTCGGCCCCTGTCTGTTGACTCCATGTCAAGGTTGTCGAAATACTTCGAACACAACAAACATTCTGACCTTACATATCTGTAATTTAATAAGAAGCTTTACACGGATGAGAATGTTGAAGGAATTGTGTAAATATAGCAGTTAACGAGCTAATTAAAATAAATCTCATTATTTATTTAATGTACAAAGATTTTGCCATCGGATGATCCTAAAGACTTATAGCGTAGCAGCGATTTACATTGTAATATAAGTTTATCTGAACAACTACTTATGAATGGCAAGAAAGACATGATCTGTAAGAAGCCGTAAAACCAAAGTATTTTTATATTGCAATGTAAACGCCTATACGAGCAAAGAACACGTAAATGTAGCTATAATAATGTACATTAACATTATTTGTATCGAAATACAATATTTGTATTAATTTTGGTGCCTTCCATAGTTATAAGACTGCACTAACCCCCACGAATGAATGGGAACATTGTAAAATTACTCGTTCACACGCAAATGGTTGAAACAGGAGAATTTCATTTTATATTAGTTCATTGTAAATATGTATTTGTAAAGAATTTGTTAAAAAATAAATTTTATATAGATATTCATGGATTTGTATGAAAACAACTTTAGTCTGGATGAAATGAAACAATTTTTTAAATTCATGTTTAGTTCAAAATACGACTCTAAAATCTCGTATCTGGAATCTTGTAAAATATTTGTAATTTTGTAAAAACTTGACCCCAGTGATTTGTAAGAGAAATGGCAGTTATTTTCTTGTTCATAAATAACATTTTATGTAGACTATAATCGGCAGTAGTTACTAAGACAAGAAATATTTCGTGCACAACATTGTTTGAGTTGAATGTCCAAAGTTAGAGAATTTATATAATATTCAGCTAAAGTCAGCTAAATATTTCTTGTCTTGGTAACTTTGTTGGGTTCACAATCAGTTTCATATTCCTACTAACAGAAACGTTTGCCCAATAGTCAAGTAAATAATTTATTTAGATCAATGCGAATGTTTCGCAGAGAATAGATTTTATTGAAATAAAATTATTATTGATAAGATTTGTTGGTTTTATTTAAAGCCTTCGTTTGATCTGTTGGCGTCTTTATCCCTTCTGCTGCTTCAAGAAATATTTTAGAAAAATAAAAAAGAGGTAATAGCTAGACGTGTTCTTAAAGAGTTTAATAATAAAAGAATATGGTAAGTATGGTGGATAATAAGTCTATGTGTTTATCCAGAGTATTACCTATGTACTAGTACATAACAAATTTCAACCAATTCGGGCCATCCGTTTTTTCGTAAAACAATAACATCCATACATTGTAACAAACTCTCACATTTATAACAATAAGTAGGATTTTCGTAGGATAGTGGGATAATCGTAGGATAGTAGGATATTCATGGGTTAGTAGGATATTCATGGGATAGTAGGATATTCGTAGGATTGTAAGATATTAGTAGGATATTCATGGGATAGTAGGATATTCGTAAGATAGTAGGATATTCATGGTAGGTATAGTAGGATATTCGTAAGATAGTAGGATATTCATGGTATAGTAGGATATTCATGGTATAGCAGGATATTCATGGTATAGTAGGATGTTCGTACGATAGTAGGATATTCGTAGGATAGTAGGATATTCATATTATTCATGGTATAGTAGAATATTCATGGGATAGTAGGATATTCGTAGGATAGTAGGATATTCGTAGGATTGTTGGATATTCGTAAGATAGCAGGATATCCATGGGATAGTAGGATAATCGTAGGGTAGTAGAGTATTCGTAGGATAGTAAGATATTAGTAGGATAGTAGGATAAGTACATTAGCTGAGTTCAGTAATTCAAACTCATTGTATAACCAGTTGCACTGAATTGTTAGAGACACTGTCTTATCGATGTCAAGCTGGAGAGGTCACGCCTACTGAAGGACCTTATTCATTAGATATACTTACTTCTGCCGATATGTTTAAGGACATCTGCAATCTCAACAGATGAATTTCAAAATCCATGGGAAGAGACCCATGCGTGCGTACCTATAATACGGCATGAGTCAAGGACGCCATCGAACGAAACCAAGGCTTAAAAGTATTAGCAAAAAAAATATCATTATCATATTAATATAATATACATTTTTTGTAATATAACACAGATCATCATGTCGTTCATATCGGAAATTCTGAGAGTTCGAGAGGTTCTACGGACAGTTGTACACCTTAACTTGGCAACCCATTGTCGGTACAACTCGGGATCCGAGATCTAAACTACTAATAAATAGACGCAATGCTCAGCTACCTCAATACTGTTTTCCGACAGGATAACACGAAACTCATGTCTGCTGTCCATGTTGGTAATCCTTCATTCTGTTGCTCGGGGTCTCTTTGCAGGACAAAATACAAAATTTACCAAACAACCAAAGTTACCGACATATTTAGCTCGTAAAATCTGCAGGATGAAGTGGTCCATTGCCGTTGAAAGCGATGTCACTCAATGGACAGCGATGGTCGATGGGCCCGGAAAGACCTTGAGTGGTCCATCGCCAATGGATGCAAGTGGCGAATTGTCGTTAGACGTGGAGGGCTAAGGGCGAAAGCCTTTGATCGGAGTCGTTTAAACGTCTTCGTCAGATGCTGATAATGTTATACCAATCTTTTTTTTATTATAACTTTCGTGAGACATTCTATATTATTTATTATCTCTAGCATGGCTTAAAACTAGTCGAGTATCTCGTCAAATTATTACGTGAGTAAGCCGAAAACATAATAATTAATGATATACCTACCAAACATTGGATTTTTTATCTAATTGTAGTGGAACCTCCATTAAGGCTAAATATGTTCGACAAGACAGTGTAAGCGAGTGCGCGAACGCGATTAAATGATCTGTTCAAAATAAAAACATCAATCTGGTTCATGTAGTGCAGTCATTGAATGGCTCAAGTAACGCCATCTAGCAATCTAGAGATAGACCTTGCTGGTTTCCAAAAGCTGTCGATCAATAGATGGCGTGAACAATAACTTCTTATATGTATATTTCTAATACTGTGAAACACAGAATAAAAATCACAAATTCGGAAATCTTCCGAATTCTTAATTTTCTGTTCTGTGGTATAAGGTTTATGGCAGCACAATTTACAAATACGGAAAGAATACTTTCTGCGTACCAATCACAAGTGGATAAAAATACCATTTATTACATGGCTACATGCATATAGGCAAATAAAACTCAAAAATTATAATACTGTAACGAGCCTGACGTCACGTTCCTGACTATGCGGGCTTGGGTTACGGGATTGGATGAAATTAAACACTAATACCGGTTTTCAGACTTTCTATTGCACTTAAGTGACAGCATCCACGGAGTTATCGGCGTTCCTCCCCAGCAGAGTCCGGCCGACTGACACAACTTTGTCGCTCACTGTTCACGCTGACTTAACTCACTTAACTGACTGCACTTCACTATTTCACTCACTTTTCTTCTTTTTCACTTCTTCCTTTTCTTCCGAATCGCTTTGGACTTAGAACTCAACTACAGCAGGCGAGGTCTCTTGCGGGGCCCGATGTGGTCGTGTCCTGTGGGTGGCGCCGTCATGAGCCGCGCTCGAGCCTGGGCAAGCCCGGCGAGCAGCAAGCTGTTGACGGCGCGCGGTCGTGTCCAGTGGTTGGCGCCGCTAGGAGCCGCGCTCGAGCCTGGGCAAGCCCGGCGAGCAGCGAGCTGTCAGCGGCGCGTGGTCGAGTCCGGTGTGGGCGGAGTCTCTACCAGCCGGCCTGACAAGCCGAGACTGAGCCGTGTCCGAATGTAGGCCTTGTAGATGCCGAGCTTCGCACGGAGCGGCAGCGCCGAGTTGAGCACCGGGCGCAGGAGGTGACGCGCGGCGCGCGCCTGAGCAGCAGCCTGCAGCACGTGGGGCGTCATCGAGAGCGAGCGGTTGATCTTGACGCCGAGGTATTTAACGCTCGGCGCCCACTGGACCTGCTCTCCCATCAGCGTCATGGGTGTCGGCTTCATGATCCCCACGGCGAGTGCTTGTGTCTTGGCCACGTTTACAGCCAGTCTCCACTTCTCCAGCCATTCAGGGAGTGCATCTAGGGCGCGCTGTAGTTTGACTACTGCGTGCCTGGGATTCAGCGACGTCGTGTAGTAGGCGGCGTCGTCGGCGTACAGGGCGAGCTTCACGCCGTCCACGACGGGGATGTCGTCCGTGTACACGCAGTAGCACACGGGAGAGATGCAGCTTCCCTGGGGCACGCCGGCTCCGATGGTCCGCTCGGTCGACAGGGCGCCTTCCACTGCCACTTGGAAGGTTCTGCCGTGCAGGAAGGTGGCCACGATCTTGACTAGTCGTCGAAGAGTAGTAGATGTGGCCAGCTTGCTGAGCAGGCCGGCATGCCAGACGCGGTCGAAGGCCCTCTCCATGTCGAGGAATATTGCCGCGGCGCGCTCACGCTTGTTACGCGCGGCCGCCAGGTCGTGCAGTACCCTCGCGACTTGCAGGGTGGTTGAGTGTTCGGCCCTGAAGCCGAACTGTTCGACGCGTGGCTGGAGGTGGGGTCGCAGGTGCAACAGCAGCAGCTTCTCGAAGAGCTTCGAGACGGTGTCCAGGAGCGTGATGGGGCGATAGCTCCCCGGCAGCAGCGTGTTCTTCCCCTGTTTGGGCAGCATGATTACCCTGCCGAGCTTCCACTTGGAAAGGAAGTGTCCGGTACGGAGGATCCCATTGAAGAGTCGGGTGAGTGTCGCGATTCCTCGCGGCGGTAGACGGCGAAGGGCCTCGTTGGGGATGCCGTCCGGACCGGGTGCCTTGCGTAGTGGGGCCCGCAGGGCCATACGCCGCACCAGGCCAGGGGAGAGCACGACTGGGTCCTCTTCGGGGGAGATCGGTTGCTCCAGGTACTGCGCTACCTGAAGCTCGACGGCTGCTGTGTGTTGCACGTTGCGGGCTGGGTTGGGCTGGAACTGTCTCTCCAGGGAGTCGGCGAAGAGCTCCGCTCGGTCCTCGGCTCGGTAACGGGGTGTGTTGTCACCGGCCAGGAAGGGTCTAATCGGGGCCGGCTTCCCGGAGAGATTGCGGCACAGTCGGTGTATGCCCGACCAGTCGTCGCTCACGTGCTCGATGGCGCGTTGCCACGATTCGGCCGCGTGGTTGGCCACGGCGGACGAGATTCTCGCTGCCAGAGCGTTGAGCACGTTCTTCATGGTCGGGCATCGGGTCCTCTGCCATTGCCTGCGGAGTCTCCTCTTCCTCTCGATCATGGCGAGTATGGTGGCTGGGAGAGGTGTTGGCCTCCTCGGTGTCGACACGTTTGGCAGCTGGGCCTCGGCGAGTGCGGCCTGGGTGGCCGTGGTGAAGTCGGCGGCGAGGCGGTCGACGTCTGCCGGCGTGTCGACCCGGTAGGACGGCGAGTTCTGCGCCATGTGTGCGGCGAAGGTGCGCCAGTCCCGCCGTGGGCGAGAGGGTAGTGGTCGCAGGCGTTGCGGGATGTCCTCGATAGTCAGACTCACTGGCTGGTGGTCTGACCGGAGATGATCGTCCAGGACGTTACAGCTGACCGTTGCGGTGATGCCTCGCAGGACGGCCAGGTCGATGACGTCGGGCATCAGCTGCCGGTGGCCTGGGTAGTGCGTCGGGGCCTCCGGGCCCAGCACCACGTAGTTGTGGAGCTCTGCATCGTCGAGCAGGCGGCTGCCTTCTCTGGTGTTGGCGTTCGCGTTCCACGCTGTGTGCTTCAAGTTGAAGTCGCCAGCGATGATGGTGGGCAGCGGCGAGTCCAGCAGGGTGTGGACGTCGCTCACTGCGAGGCGGTAGTGTGGCGGCCTGTAGAACGCGAACACCCGGGTCGGCTGTTGGTTGATGCAGATCTCCACGCCCAGCGCGTAGGACGCGCGCAGCGTTGGCACCGGCAGTAGCTGGTGGACGATTCTTCTCCTGACCAGGATTGCCAGCCCTCTGTAGGCAATCCCTGACGGCGAGATGTGGTCCTCCCGGTAGACATAGAAGCCAGCCATCTTCAGCTTGTCCACTGGTTTGAGGTGCGTCTCGTTGATCAGGGCTACATCAGCTTGCCGTTGGTCTAGTAGCAGCTTCAGTAGCCTGGTCTTCTCTGGGGACATCCCGTTGGCGTTCCAGTATATGATCCTAAGGTGCCGCTGGTCCATCGCAGGGACTTGATCGCGTCTAGGAGCAGCGGCACTGGATCGCTCCGCTGGGTAACGAGCGCCGTCACGATCCCTTGCAGGATTCGGACGACGTCGTTGATGGAGAGTGTCTGTGGCGGAGGTCTCGGCGGGGCTTGCCGCTTCGCCTTAGTTGCGGCGGCGGCAGGCGCTTTAGCGGCGGCAGGCGCTTTGGCGGCGGCGGTGTGCGTCACGGTGCGGGCGACGACGGGGGCGGCGGTGGCAGCGGGAGCGGGGGCGGCGGTGGCGGCAGTGGTGGCAGGGGGCGCCTGCTTCGCCTTCCTGCGCCTGCGCCTTGTGCGGCGCTTGCTGCCCGGCTCGTTGGCTGCGGCCATGAGGGAGCCAGCGGTGGCACTGCGCAGGGCCCTTCTTGCCCCGCCATGCCTCGATCTTGATCCCGGGCATGCAGAGCAACTCCGTTACTCCGTAGATGCCCGGGATGGTGTCTTCGGTGCGCGCCACCTGGGCGTAGAAAAGACACCCAGGTCGTCCCTGGCGCGCACGGATGGGGCGGACGTACTCGGCGTTGTAGCCGCAGTCGCGCAGAGCCTCGTGAATGGCGTCCACTGGCGTCTCCGCAGGCAGCCCTCTGATGGCCACCTTCAGGCTTCGCTCCGCTGGTAGGGAGTAGGAGAACCAGGCTATCCCCTGGGTCCTCTCCAGGTCTGTGAGGTAGGCCTGGATACTCCTATACTCCACGTCGGAGCGGGGCGTAAAGCGCACTCCTTTGCCGAAGGGGCGCGCGTTGGGCGCGTGTCCTAGCCGCTGCCTCAGCTCCGCGAAGTGCTCGACCCAGTTGGGGAGCTTCTCCACGATGAGTGGTGGGTAACGCGCCCTGGGGGCGGGGGCGCTAGACGGCGCGGGTGCGGGGGCGCTTGTCGGCGCGGGTGTGGTGGCGGTTGTCGGCGTGGGTGCGGGGGCGTCGGTGTTGCCGGCGGCAGGAGTCTTCGGCGCGGTGGCGCCGACCGCTGCAGGTGCAGGGGCGCGTGTGCCGGTGGAGGTGGGCGACGCAGCGGCTGCGTACGTCGCCTTGGGCGCGGCCACTTGCTGGGGCGGCGCGAATGGTGGCAGGATGGGGGGCGGGCGGAAGGGCGGCGAGGTGTAGATAGCCTGCCGCTTGCCCGCCGGCTCCTTAGTCGGCGAGGGAAAGCGTCCCGGCATGCTGTTGTCCGGGGGCGCAGGCAAAACAGGTGCGGCGCGCGGGGGCGCAGCGCTTGGGGGCACGGACTGAGTGGGCGCAGTCGCAGGTTGGTGGGGCCTCTTCGAGCGCGAGCTGTCGAAGTCTTCGTGCCCGACGGCGGTTTGTAGCTCGTCTTCGAAGCCGAGGTTGAGGTGGTGGCGTGGGCCCGGGCAGCTTTGGCCGTAGCGTCGGCAGGCTGCGCCAGCGCGGTCCTCGGTGGGGACCTTGGCGTAGGCCGGGGGGTTGCGGGCGTTGCGGCGGTGTGTGACACCCATGTCACGAGCCGTGGTGGTGGGGCGTGGGGGTGCCACGTCCATAGGTTCTGGCGCGCTCGCGGTTCTCGCCGGTGCGGTCCACGAAGGTGGGGCCGTATGTGGCGGCGGCGAGGGCGACGCCGGGGTGTCGGGGGTCGAGGTGGGCGGGGGGAAGAATTCCTCCGCCGATCCAAGGCTTCCGGAGGCTATGCGCGACATCGATGCGTCCTCGGGCGCCTCGGACCATCGCTGCACTGCAGCCCGTATGTTGACGCGCTTAGTGGGCCGCTGTTGCGAGCTTTTGTGCACGCGCCCCTGCTCCTTCCGGTCCCGGTTGGGCTTGGAGGACGAGCGCGGCGGCGACGACGACGATGCCCCACTTCCGTGAGGCACTGCCACTTGCTGGCAAGCTGTGCACCGGGTGCGTCAGCAGGTCACTTGCTTACTGCCAGCAGTGAGCCGCAGTTTCGCTTATATACCCCTGGTTAGGTTCTGGAACATTCAATTTCGTTATTCTTTTTGATTGTCATGACTCCAGAACCTTCCAATAATTTCGTTATTCATTTTTATTTATTCTCCTTCTCGCTCTTTAATTTTTCATTTCTTTCACACAAAAGCTTCCAGAAAGTTCCACAAAAACTTCCATCAACTAAAAAACTTCATGCTTACGGCGGGACTCGAACTCGGGGTCTCTCTGGTGTAATCCACGCGCCTTACCGATTACACCAACTCGTGTTGACAATTCACGACGAAATTTACAATCTCTAGGCAACGTTTGACAACCATCCATTGACGTCATGATGTCAAAGAGTTTGAACCACTTTTCCGTCACAATACACTACAATTTATTTACAAATCTACAATTCATTAATTGGCGATAGCAGGTGCTGCAGGTTTTTCTGATAGCTCAGTTGTTGTAACTGCAGACTCTGTTGTCTCCGTACTCTCCACAACTTCTGGCTCAGGTTCAGGCATAACCCTGGTCAATTTGGAAGGTTCTTTAGGTGGAGTCCAGTCAGGGATGATCTTATCATGGATGCGCCATGTTCCGTACAGATTAGACAGATGTTTTTCAAACACTATGTACTCTAAGACGTCTTTCGATAAGATCTCACTTCCATGAAGAAGTCGACCGAATCTGTCATATACTGCTAGCTGTTAATATTTTATTTGAATTTCAAAATCTTCAAGAGAAATAAGTAAAATTTTTATCTTTAATTTTTGGTGAAAAGCCAGGAAGGGTGATATTGTAATAAATGATTTAGATTTTATACAACCTAATGATCTTAATTTATTTAATTAAACTAAAAAGAAAAGATTAAACTAAAATTATAAATTATTATTCTTAAATCATCATCATCATCATCAGCCTATAAGTGCCCACTGCTGAGCAAAGGCCTCTTCTCACACGGAGAAGGTTTGAGCATTAATCACCACGCTTGCTCAATGCGGGTTGGCGATTTCAAACTTATAATTAGAAATTATAAGTCCAGGTTTCCTCACGATATTTACCTTTACCGTATGTCAGTGGTGTCTAAATAATTATAGAAAGTACATATGTATAACTCGGAAAAAGTCACATTGGTACTTGCCAGGTTTCGAACCCACACCCTCATGCATGAGAAGCGGGCTCCTTAACCTCCGGGCCACCACGACCACCACTATTCTTAAATACTAAAACTTAATGAATAATAAAAAATATCAATTTGTCCTTGGGGAGGCTTTTATTCAGCAGTGGACGCCATCAGGCTGATGATGAAGTTGATGATGATCTTTTATGTTTGGAATATTTTGATTTTATTTGTTTTTATTGCAAGACATCGATTATAGCAATTTTGTTTCCTCTTGTGCAGGGTACGTCGAGTACAGTGGACGTGTCGTCCCCGTCTTCGGTGCTGGGCGGTCGCGAGGCGGTGGTGGAGGCGCGCTGCGTGGTGCGGCTGGAGGTGGGCGGGCGCGGCGTGGCCGTGCGCTGCGGCCCGGCGCGCCGCCTGCGCCACGTGCTGCGCCCCGTCCTCGCCAAGTACGCCGCGCCACACGCCGCGCGCGCCGTGCTCAGGGCCGGCCGTCTGCTGCACCCTGACACACTCATGCAGGTACACTACTTTATATACTGCGCTATGCTAAGTATCGCTTAAAAAGTATATTTATGTAGCTAACTTATAACTAATGTAGAAATTAGTAGTTGTGTCACAATTACGAGCACCGGTGTACCTCGAAATTAATCGAGCACTCTCGATATAACATCTTTTAGTTTGAATAAATATTATGAAACTAATTACACGATACTTATTTCAACTAATCATTTTCGTATTACTTCTCCATAGAAAAATAACCTTTACGGACTAAAAACTAACTATAAAATTTTCTTCGTCAGGAACTAGACGGCGCTCGTCTCCAAATAGTGGAAGTATCAGAGAATGGCGAATACCGCGCTGCTACAGCGGAGTACGAGGTGGACGATGACGCAGACTCACTCAGCGACCTCGCCGTCAGGTTGCAGGACGACGCCATGAAGCAGCCCGATGAAGTGGTCAGTATTCAAATATAATCTATAGATATATAACCAAGATGTCACATATATAAATCCAGTTTTAATGAGCAAAGTATCAAACATGACCTGCGGGGCAGTAGTAAAATTGACGAGAACATGTAGACCCGATAATTTTTGTGCTTCACCAAGGTTTAGGTATTAAAAAAATTAAAATGCTAATCATAATACTTATATATAAAATGTTAATCAATGGAATAATTTCTTAACAATATGTTTGTTGTCCTGGCAGAGCGTGGGCACGGCGAGTGGCAGTAGTCGCGGCAGTAGCGGCGCCGGCCGCGTCCGCGCCGCCCTACGACCCGGGCCTCCGCTACACCATCACCCACCCGGTTCGTACTCCTTGATTACATTTTTCGTTTATGCACACATACAACTTCAATTAAGAATTAATTGCAATCATCTATCTATAAGCGTAGAACATAATTTATCAGTTTCAATAACCACGTTTCTTTATTCCACAGATTTCCTAGAGAATCTCAGAGAGACGCAACGGCAGAGGCTACAGAGCAAGGGCTCGGTGTCTCCGCCGTCGTCCCCCGGTCCACAGCCCCGCAGCCCCCCTCCGCTCCCCCCCAAGCCGGCGCAGCGCGCGCCCCCTACCGTCGTCTGAGCGCACCACTCGCCGGTCTCGGCGCATGATCACCTCACACGACTTCTCCAAGTCACACTTGGGAACCGAAGTAGCCGACCCACAGCTCACAAGACGGACGGAATCCGTCGAGAACTCAGTTTCTGACACAACTGAGACTAATGAGCCATGTCGGCCCCTGTCTGTTGACTCCATGTCAAGGTTGTCGAAATACTTCGAACACAACAAACATTCTGACCTTACATATCTGTAATTTAATAAGAAGCTTTACACGGATGAGAATGTTGAAGGAATTGTGTAAATATAGCAGTTAACGAGCTAATTAAAATAAATCTCATTATTTATTTAATGTACAAAGATTTTGCCATCGGATGATCCTAAAGACTTATAGCGTAGCAGCGATTTACATTGTAATATAAGTTTATCTGAACAACTACTTATGAATGGCAAGAAAGACATGATCTGTAAGAAGCCGTAAAACCAAAGTATTTTTATATTGCAATGTAAACGCCTATACGAGCAAAGAACACGTAAATGTAGCTATAATAATGTACATTAACATTATTTGTATCGAAATACAATATTTGTATTAATTTTGGTGCCTTCCATAGTTATAAGACTGCACTAACCCCCACGAATGAATGGGAACATTGTAAAATTACTCGTTCACACGCAAATGGTTGAAACAGGAGAATTTCATTTTATATTAGTTCATTGTAAATATGTATTTGTAAAGAATTTGTTAAAAAATAAATTTTATATAGATATTCATGGATTTGTATGAAAACAACTTTAGTCTGGATGAAATGAAACAATTTTTTAAATTCATGTTTAGTTCAAAATACGACTCTAAAATCTCGTATCTGGAATCTTGTAAAATATTTGTAATTTTGTAAAAACTTGACCCCAGTGATTTGTAAGAGAAATGGCAGTTATTTTCTTGTTCATAAATAACATTTTATGTAGACTATAATCGGCAGTAGTTACTAAGACAAGAAATATTTCGTGCACAACATTGTTTAAGTTGAATGTCCAAAGTTAGAGAATTTATATAATATTCAGCTAAAGTCAGCTAAATATTTCTTGTCTTGGTAACTTTGTTGGGTTCACAATCAGTTTCATATTCCTACTAACAGAAACGTTTGCCCAATAGTCAAGTAAATAATTTATTTAGATCAATGCGAATGTTTCGCAGAGAATAGATTTTATTGAAATAAAATTATTATTGATAAGATTTGTTGGTTTTATTTAAAGCCTTCGTTTGATCTGTTGGCGTCTTTATCCCTTCTGCTGCTTCAAGAAATATTTTAGAAAATAAAAAAGAGGTAATAGCTAGACGTGTTCTTAAAGAGTTTAATAATAAAAGAATATGGTAAGTATGGTGGATAATAAGTCTATGTGTTTATCCAGAGTATTACCTATGTACTAGTACATAACAAATTTCAACCAATTCGGGCCATCCGTTTTTTCGTAAAACAATAACATCCATACATTGTAACAAACTCTCACATTTATAACAATAAGTAGGATTTTCGTAGGATAGTGGGATAATCGTAGGATAGTAGGATATTCATGGGTTAGTAGGATATTCATGGGATAGTAGGATATTCGTAGGATTGTAAGATATTAGTAGGATATTCATGGGATAGTAGGATATTCGTAAGATAGTAGGATATTCATGGTAGGTATAGTAGGATATTCGTAAGATAGTAGGATATTCATGGTATAGTAGGATATTCATGGTATAGCAGGATATTCATGGTATAGTAGGATGTTCGTACGATAGTAGGATATTCGTAGGATAGTAGGATATTCATATTATTCATGGTATAGTAGAATATTCATGGGATAGTAGGATATTCGTAGGATAGTAGGATATTCGTAGGATTGTTGGATATTCGTAAGATAGCAGGATATCCATGGGATAGTAGGATAATCGTAGGGTAGTAGAGTATTCGTAGGATAGTAAGATATTAGTAGGATAGTAGGATAAGTACATTAGCTGAGTTCAGTAATTCAAACTCATTGTATAACCAGTTGCACTGAATTGTTAGAGACACTGTCTTATCGATGTCAAGCTGGAGAGGTCACGCCTACTGAAGGACCTTATTCATTAGATATACTTACTTCTGCCGATATGTTTAAGGACATCTGCAATCTCAACAGATGAATTTCAAAATCCATGGGACGAGACCCATGCGTGCGTACCTATAATACGGCACGAGTCAAGGACGCCATCGAACGAAACCAAGGCTTAAAAGAATTCGCAAAAAAATATCATTATCATATCAGTATTATATACATTTTTTGTAATATAACACAGATCATCATGTCGTTCATATCGGAAATTCTGACAGTTCGAGAGGTTCTACGGACAGTTGTACACCTTAACTTGGCAACCCATTGTCGGTACAACTCGGGATCCGAGATCTAAACTACTAATAAATAAACGCAATGCTCAGCTACCTCAATACTGTTTTCCGACAGGATAACACGAAACTCATGTCTGCTGTCCATGTTGGTAATCCTTCATTCTGTTGCTCGGGGTCTCTTTGCAGGACAAAATACAAAATTTACCAAACAACCAAAGTTACCGACATATTTAGCTCGTAAAATCTGCAGGATGAAGTGGTCCATTGCCGTTGAAAGCGATGTCACTCAATGGACAGCGATGGTCGATGGGCCCGGAAAGACCTTGAGTGGTCCATCGCCAATGGATGCAAGTGGCGAATTGTCGTTAGACATGGAGAGCTAAGGGCGAAAGCCTTTGATCGGCGTCGTTTGAACGTCTTCGTCAGATGCTATACCAATCTTCGTCAGATGTTATACCAATCTTTTTTTGGCTTAAAACTAGTCGAGTATCTCGTCAAATTATTACGTGAGTAAGCCGAAAACATAATAATTAATGATATACCTACCAAACATTGGATTTTTTATCTAATTGTAGTGGAACCTCCATTAAGGCTAAATATGTTCGACAAGTGTAAGCGAGTGCCCGAACGCGATTAAATGATCATATGTTTTTAAATAAAAACATCAATCTGGTACATGTAGTGCAGTCATTGAATGGCTCAAGTAACGCCATCTAGCAATCTAGAGATAGACCTTGCGGGTTTCCAAAAGCTGTCGATCAAAAGATGGCGTAAACAATAACTTCTACTACTCTACTCTACTACTACTCTATTAACTCAAAAATTACAATACACTACAATTTATTTACAAATCTACAATTCCTTAATTGGCGATGGCAGGTGCTGCAGGTTTTTTTGAAAGCTCAGGTGTTGTAACTGCAGGCTCTGTTGTCTCCGTACTCTCCACAACTTCTGGCTCAGGTTCAGGCATAACCCTGGTCAATTTAGAAGGTTCTTTAGGTGGAGTCCAGTCAGGGATGATCTTATCATGGATGCGCCATGTTCCGTACAGATTAGACAGATGTTTCTCAAACACTATGTACTCTAAGACGTCTTTCGATAAGATCTGCCATGAAGAAGTCGACCGAATCTGTCATATACTGCTAGCTGTTGGCGTGTGTGGAAGCGGACCGTTACCTGAAACGATAGGTGAAAAATATAATACTACTCTTTGATGAACAGTTCAAATAATAAGTAAAAAGAAGAGATTATATTAATTCTAAAATATTTTTTAGACCCAAAAATTATTCTCTTTGCTAATGACATCAGTGCACCGCGCATGCACTACTCTTGGAGGCTCTAGTGACTCAATGAACTTCCACTTGATAGTTTTCGAATGAGAATTATGCCTGAATTCAGGATATGCCTTTTCCGTAACATAAATTCTCAGAGCCTTCTTATCATTGTTTGCAAGACTTTCATGAGCCTTGATATAGGTGTCTTGAGCTTGTAAAACAAATTCTTTTTGATCAAATTCTAATTTTTGGTAAAAACGCCAGGAAGGGTGATATTGAAATAAATGATTTAGATTTTATACAACTTACTTAATGATCTATTAAACTGAAATTATAAACTATTATTCTTAAATAATAAAACTTAATGAATAATAAAAAATATCAATTTGTCTTTGGGGAGGCTTATGTTCAGCAGTGGACGACATCAGGCTGATGATGAAGTTGATGATGATCTTTTATGTTTGGAATATTTTGATTTTATTTGTTTTTATTGTAAGACATCGATTATAACAATTTTGTTTCCTCTTGTGCAGGGTACGTCGAGTACAGTGGACGTGTCGTCCCCGTCGTCGGTGCTGGGCGGTCGCGAGGCGGTGGTGGAGGCGCGCTGCGTGGTGCGGCTGGAGGTGGGCGGGCGCGGCGTGGCCGTGCGCTGCGGCCCGGCGCGCCGCCTGCGCCACGTGCTGCGCCCCGTCCTCCCCAAGTACGCCGCTCCACACGCCGCGCGCGCCGTGCTCAGGGCCGGCCGTCTGCTGCATCCTGACACACTCATGCAGGTACACTACTTTATATACTGCACTATGCGTTCACACATATGTTTCTATTGTCTCCGAATTACCACGATTTAAAGTTTAACTGATCGACTGAACTGTTCTGCTCAGTACAAAGTATCGCTTAAAACTTGTCTCACAATTACGAGCACCGGTGTACCTCGAAATTAATCGAGCACTCTCGATATAACATCTTTTAGTTTGAATAAATATTATGAAACTAATTACACGATACTTATTTCAACTAATCATTTTCGTATTACTTCTCCATAGAAAAATAACCTTTACGGACTAAAAACTAACTATAAATTTTCTTCGTCAGGAACTAGACGGCGCTCGTCTCCAAATAGTGGAAGTATCAGAGAATGGCGAATACCGCGCTGCTACAGCGGAGTACGAGGTGGACGATGACGCAGACTCACTCAGCGACCTCGCCGTCAGGTTGCAGGACGACGCCATGAAGCAGCCCGATGAAGTGGTCAGTATTCAAATATAATCTATAGATATATAACCAAGGTGTCAAGGCTACTTATAATTTTAGAATTACCAAGAAACACCAGTAAAAATGTTAATCAGTGGAATAGTGTATTAACAATATGTTTGTTGTCCTGACAGAGCGTGGGCACGGCGAGTGGCAGTAGTCGCGGCAGTAGCGGCGCCGGCCGCGTCCGCGCCGCCCTACGACCCGGGCCTCCGCTACACCATCACCCACCCGGTTCGTACTCCTTGATTACATTTTTCGTTTATGCATACATACAACTTCAATTAAGAATTAATTGCAATCATTTATCTATAAGCCTACAACATAATTTATCAGTTTCAATAACCACGTTTCTTCTTTCCACAGATTTCCTAGAGAATCTCAGAGAGACGCAACGGCAGAGGCTACAGAGCAAGGGCTCGG